GGTTGTGTGAAAGGATGTTGAACAAAGACTGGCCCCTCTATGAATATTGTGGCCCTTTGATGGTCCCTGACTCAGACAAAATCCTAGATCTGCCCCTGTGTCATGAGATCTGAGTAAAATCATTTGATGAGACGTGACTCGTCTGTTTCTGTTCAGGAAAACGTCTGAACCTCTGCAGCTGGTCAGAGGTCAGACAGCTGCAGGTAAATGTGTCAAACTGTCAGCCATGAAGCTGTGATGAAAACAAGGTTCTGTGTTTCTGAAGAAACATCTCAACTATGCTGCTGAGCAGGTTTTTGTTTCAGAACCAGTTTCTGAGGAAACTGGAGGAGTCAGGTGAGTGGGTTCTGGTCACACCTACAGCTGACCGGACCAGTCAGGTGACAGGAATGATTGACAGATGGTGGTATAAATCCTGACTTTCAGTAATTAAGTTTATTTAAAACTCGTCAGTAAAACTTTTTCTGTTTGAATTCAGGAAGTGAAAAACGATTTTAGAGAATTCTCGTCCGTTCATCTTCAAATTAAACTTTAAATAAAGTTAAGTTTACCTTCAGCCTGAATTTAAACTTCATTTCAAAATGAAGCTTTGATCCAGTCATTATTTTAAAGTTGTTTTGTGTTTCTTCTGTCCATCCAAACTGTTTTTGTTTATTTCTGCATTATTTCAGTGAATTTGGTGAAATCTGAAGTTTATTTTCCACTGACTGTAAACGTTTCTGTTCATTAAGATAAAAACTGTGAAACTTTCATATTAATTTCTACATTTTCACCCAGAAGCAGAAAAAAGACCATACTTAGTTTTATTTTGTGGAAAATGTGTTTAATGGATTTCCTTTAGTTGAGTCAGAACCAGATGTTTATAGAACCAGCAGGCTGCCTGTAAAAAAAAACTACTTTTCCTTCGAGTGTCGACCCAACCCGACCCGACCCGACCCGACCCGTCAGACTCACTAACTAAATGCTGCAGTGAGTAAATGTAGTCCAGAAGAATGGATGCAGACAGAGACACCTCCGGCCCGGTTCTACTTGTAGAACTCGTGCTCCTGCTCGTCCTTCTTGATGACGGTCTTGTAGGCCTTTTCAAAGTCTTTGGCGAGGACGATGTATCTGTTCTCACGCACTGCCAACATGCCGGCCTGAGACGGACAGCAGAGGGAACCAGAACCACAATCAGAACCAGTTTATTTGAATTACTCTGTCAAAGGTTTTAACTTCGGCTCACCTCCTGACAGATGGAGTTGATGTCAGCACCAGAGATCTTATCGGGTCGGGCCACATCTGAACGGCAGTTTAAGAATCAACACAAAAAACACCAGAAGATCTTCACCTGACAGCAGATTTTAACTTTTGTTTCTACTTTTCTACAACTGGGTTTATCCAGTGGTGCCACAGCTAACCAAAAACATTTCAGTCACCAGCCACAACCCACTAAACAAGAACCAAAGCGGTGCTCAGGTTCTGACATGATAAAACCCGAGCAGCCCTGAACATCATGAGGAGAAAGGATACAGTCCTCCAGGTCCACCTCCTCAGACAGGTTCATCTTGCTGGTGATGGTGGAGAAAATCAGACGCTTCTGTCGGCGGTCGGGCAGAGGAAACTCGATCTTCCTGTCCAGACGGCCAGGACGAAGCAGAGCCGGGTCCAGGGTGTCGGCTCTGTTGGTGGCCATGATCACCTGAACACAGGAAGGACAGGTGGGGTCATGAGGCAGACAACAGTCTGTAGAAATAAAAACATATCCAGTCTGAACTCTGAGGGAAACAGTTCCTCTGCAGCTCGGCTGCATTAACAGCTGCTGATCCAGCTGAGTGACAGAGTGAGTGGATCACTGTCAGAACACACTGGAGCGGAGCGGAGAGAAGCAGGTGGACTCACCTTGACGTTGACGTTCTGATCAAAGCCGTCCATCTGATTCAGCAGCTCCAGCAGAATCCTCTGCACCTCCCTGTCAGCTGCACAGACATCCAGCCGTAAATAATTCAGCCCTGCTGCTGGACAGACTCAAACAGGAAGTCCGCTCCTACCTCCGGTCTGAGCGTCGAATCGCTTCGTGGCGATGGCGTCGATCTCGTCGATGAAGATGATGGCGGGAGCGTTCTCCTTGGCCAGCCTGAAGACGTCCCGCACCATCCGGGGACCTTCGCCCAGGTACTTCTGGACAAACTCAGAGCCCACCACACGGATGAACGCGGCTGAGAGCGAGTGGAGGAACAAAGGTTAAAACATTCGGATCAGAACTTTAAAGAACACAGAACAGGTTCATGCAGGTTTCACTAAGTTCAATTTAAGACATTTCAGACCAAAACAAACAACACATTATTAAAAACACTCAAATTGTCTCAGAAACTTTAACATAAAAACCTTTTATTGTTATCAGTTTAGTTATTAAAGAATATTTTACTTTAAATTATTTTAATGAATCATATCAGAGCTTCAGATGGACCGCTGCCTCCAACTGAGTGTAAAAACCACTGATGGAAACACTGTCCATGTTCAAACCACAAGCAGTGGACACGACTGAACTTTGTTGTTGTGCAGTTAAACAAGCTGCTGTGTGTGTGGGGTGGGGGTGCTCTGTGATGAGGAAACTCAGCTTAAAGACACGTCCCAGGGGCGTTTCTGGTACCAAAATGCGTTTCTGGTCCCCACCTGTCGTTTTGCTCCTCAGCATGGCTTCATAAAAACACTGCAGGATTTATCAAACATGATGAATGAGTCAGAGCAAGGCTTTGACCATGTTTTTATCAGAGTATAACATTATAACATGAAATAAAACTCAAAAAAGTTGATTTTACATGATATTGCCCCTTTAAACATTTCAGACTAGGTTACTACATTGTAATTACAATAATGATAAAAAAAACACACATTTTAACACATTAATATTGTACTGTGTGATTATGGGTAGGGGTTAGGTTAGGTTAGAGCTAATCTAATCATTATAAATATTCACAACTGTCAAAGAGAGACTTATCAAGTGTAAAACAGCACACTATTTATTGACAAATAAATATTTATAAAGGCCAAAAGTTAGTCTGTAATGTGAAAAATCATCAGTTTTAAACTTTGTGTTGATTATCAATATTTGAAGTTATTGTTCAAACATGTAACTACTGTTAACAATGATGATGTATCAAAATAGTTAAAAATGTCATGTTAACCAAATAATCCCACCTCATCCAAAATAATGTACAGTTTTACACATTACAGTAAGGATCCCTTTAATATTAGTGTATATTTATAACGCAGTAATACAGAACAATATTATATGTTAAAATATGTTTCCTAATCAT